GATGAGACTTTCCCATGAGTCACGCTGTGGTGAACTCGTTGGCGCTGTTACACCCACCGATGCACAGCGTTTCTAAGAACTGCTCCTCTGTTCTCGTGCAGTGAAGGAATTTACAGTTCGGGGGGCAATCTGTTTTTCTAGTCATGTTTTTATGTAGGGCACTCGCTATTAAATCAGAAGTTAGCATTGTTTTACTTCATTGTTCTTGCTTACGGGGGTCTGATGACAAAAACAGGAGGCCCTCCCCAAGGTATTGTGGGATGTCTGGCAACACACAGCCTTGTGGTATTAGTAGGACACTCACACACACTCTTATCCTGTGTGAGGACAGATTAGCCCCATTCATAATAACAATACAGTCATTCACATTATTTCATGACCCCACTCGATGCTGAACTCATTACTGACACAGAGAAGTGTTTTGGGGAGATGACTGTCAGTACACCTTACAATATGCATGTAAATGTAAGAATGTATGTGTAATTTGAAATTGTAAATGTATGTTTACATTTGAAATTGAATATGTAATTTAATCCTGAAATCAACCGAGGATGCTGCCATGTGGTTAAAATCACACTTTTCGCACTTGTTCAGTTATTATTTAAAGGTATTATTTAACCATTATTACACTGACGCACAATTCTGTCATGATAGATGACATTTTACTTTTTTTAATGATATCTTCAGTGTTACTTAACATTGAAACACTGCAGGACTCAGAGTCTTAAGCTTGCTGACTGGATGTTTTCTTGCCGAAATGCACTTTTTATAAGGGAGCAGGTATTTTCACACAGTCTTCCGTACTGATGATTCAGTCGGGAGAGTTGTCATGTCCATTCAGTGCTCCGACTGTGAGTCAGCTCACACTGTCTGTGGAACAAATCAATGGGACTTTTACTTCCGGGAACCAGGGGAACCCAGAATAGCTCCTCCTACTCCAAAACTCTATTCAGGGCGAGCACTTGGACAGTAATTTAGTCCAATGCAGATATTTGAAAACAATGAGGGACTCCCACACGCTGTCCTGCCTACTGCTGAAAAATTATTTATTATATTCTCTCAATGTAACCTTCACCAGTTATATGATATACCACAGTGTGCAGGAGTCCCTCATTGTTTTCAAGTTGTACCTTCTGACGCACCTTTCATTCAGGTGTGCAGAGACTTTTTTTTTAAAATCCCATTCAGATATTAAAACAATGATACTACAGGCTACAACTGACAGCTCATTCCATTAGTGATCACTTTGTTACTCTGTCACTGTTTTCTGAGTAATCGATTAATCATTTAGGCTATAACATGCCAGAAAAGTATCAAAAATGCCCATCAGTACCCAAGGTGGTGGCTTAAAATTGTATGTTCATAATGCAAAGACATTCAATTTCTAATGACATAAAACAGAGAAAAGTAACAAATCCTTATATTAGAGAAACTAGAAGACTTTTGCTTGATAAATGACCAACTGATTGATTAAATGACTAACTGTAACAGAGTGTGTCTGTTAATCTAATGTGAATTGTTCTCTGCTGCAGGTGGTACAGGCTGAACTCTAAGACGGGGAAGAAGGAGAAGGAACGAGGAGACATCCAGGTGACTGTCCAGTTCACCCGAAACAACCTGACGGCCAGCATGTACGACCTCGTCATGAAGGACAAGGCCGCCTCCACCTTTGGCAAGCTGAAAGAGCGCATGAGGGGGAAGAGGAGATCCAGCGATGATGACTCCTCGTCGGCCGTCGTACCAGGTGGTTACGGGTCCCTTTGCCGGATTCGGCAACGGTTGCCCAGCGATGGAGGCGGGGAGGAGGACTACGAGGACGACGAGGGTGGGGAGGCCCGGCGGAGCAAGATGAGGACCTTTTTCCTAAGAGGGAAGCTGAGGAAGTCATCGGACACTCGTTCCAGCACATCGCTCGGCTCGGAGAGCAGTGAGTCGTCATCACGGGGTGGAAGCCTCAGCCCCACGGCCGGCATCAGCGTGGTGGTCTCTGACCTCTCCAACTCACCCAGTAACAGCAGCAACCTGACAGTCGACAGCCCAGGTGAGAATGAACAGTAGAGACGCCATGTGAAGAATATCTCTTCTATTGCACTCACTGCACGTTTAGTCCAATTTCAGTCTCACAGTTATCCATCCTTTCCTTTTTATTGCACAGGTTCAGGTTTCCCTCTTGTGGGACAAACCTGAAATCTTTTACAGCAACAAAAAAAAATCTAAGATCTAAACTAGAGCTGCAACTACCAAAAATGATCAATTAATCTGCAAATAGTTTTTTTGATTAATTAATTAATTCTTAGTCTATAAAATGTCAAATAATAGTAGAAAAATGCCCCTCACGACTTCCTGAAGTCCAAGGTGACGTCTAAAATGTTTTGTTTTGTTTGACCAACAGTCTAAAACTCAAAGATATTCAGTTTATGGAAACATTTCATTATTTTTGCTTGATTAACTTTTTTTTGCTCTGAACTAATCTACTACCACCACTGTAAATTTCTAATGCAGAACTTGCAGGACAATGTTCATTCATGTAAATGATGAATATTTCTCAATAAACCTCTTCCTTAAAATTCTGTCAATTCACTTATGTGTGAGAACTGCACGAGCATTTTGAGAGGTTTTGTTTCTTTGTTTAGTTGTATTTAAAGGACCGGTGTGTAGGATTTAGTGGCATCTAACAGTGAAGCTGCAGATTGCAACTCACTCGCTTCACCCTCCCCTTTTCAAGTGAAACAACGGTAG